GGGGAAACAATGATACATCTGAAAAGAACCTATCATAGACTGAATTGTGTTTCCCCAAAATATGTGTCAATTTAGTGAGGCTGTGATTCTCAGTATACATTTCCTAATGTAGTCCCTAACACTTTGTGCTGTTAACAGATAGTCCATGTGTGTATCCAGTGGTTCAAATCTACCATCAGTTGGTTCCATGGGCAAAAGATGGGCCATCTCCTCCTGTAAAAATGTTCAGCCTCAGAAACCCAACGGAGGGTTGCTATACATGCAAATCTACCTGATGATAGTAAGTCTGCATTTTATGACATTAATGAGGCAGCTATATAACCATCTCGTGATGTCTGGGATGCAATCAACAAATTGGTTGTAAGGGGATCAGGGTAGGATGTGACGTTAACTAGGTCACAGCCGTGATCTGATCCAAGGGGAATTTCCCTGGGGTGTGACCTGAATCATCATTTGTTTTACAGGACAGAAAAGGAAAGAGAAGTGAGCAGCAAGAGGAAGACCTTAGAATTACCAAGAAAAAAGAGTTGGGAGCAGATAGATTCATTAGACCCTGGTCCATGGGCTGTGAACCTCCTCGAAGAAGAAAACACAGAGAGGACATTTTTCCCCTAGACCCTGCTACCTGAATGTGATCCACTAGCCCCCTAAACTGTAAGAGAATAAATTTTTTGTCTGTTAAGTCCATGTACTTAGAGTATCTCTGTTACAGCTAGATAACGAAAACAAGGTCTAATCTCTAACATGCATAGAAAATGTTAATAACGTAACAACAAAAATACAATGAAATGAAAAATGGGCAATGGATGTGAACGGACACATGAAGAAATGCTTCTGATCATTAGCCAGGGCTGCTGTTGTTAGTCACGACTCATAGCGACCATATGAACAACAGATTGAAGGCTTGTCCTGCACTGTACCACCCTCACAGTCTCTGCCACAATCAAAGTCACCGTCATAATGGCAGGTCATCTGGTTGAGGGTCTGCCTCCTTTTAGCACATTCACCATTATAATTGTTGTTGACAGGTGCCATCAAGTAGTGTCTGACTCAAAGCAATCAACAGATCTGGACCCTGTCCTATCCTGTGCCATCCTCATTACCTCCGGCACACTTGAACCCACTGTGTCAGTCACTATGTCAATCCATCTGGTTGAGGGTCTTTCCCTCCTTTCCTGTCCCTCCACCTTCCCAAGCATGATATCCCTCTCCGCAGCATAACCTCTCCTAGCAACATGCCAAAGCGTGTGAGACAAAGTATTATCATCTTTACCTCCAATCTTTACCCCTCTGGCTGCACCTTCTCCAAAATATATTTGTTCTTTTGGCAGTCCACTGGATATTGGAAGCAGGAGTGGCACCCACTTCCTAAACAACATACCTCCAGAAACTCGATAAACTTTGATAAATGTTGATAGTTGTAGAGGGGCTTCAGGCCTTTTGTTCATAGGGTCGCTATGAGTCATGCTCGACTCAAAGGCAATCAACAACAACAAAAACAGGATATTCAGGACCCTTCTCCAACATCACAGTTCCTAGGCATCAATTCTTCTGTCATCCTTATTCTTTGCCCAGCTTTTAGCAGCACAGCAAGTCATTGAAAAAATCATGCATGGCCTGAATCTGGTGCACCTCAGTCCTTAAACTAACATCATTACTCTTCAATAATTTGGAGAGGTGTCTGACTGCAGACTTTCCCAGTGTGGTATGTCTCTTATCTCCTGATTGCTGGTACCAAGTATACTGATTGTGGATCCAAGTTAAGATGAAGTTATTAACAGTTTCAAGATGAAGTTGTTGTCAGTTTCAGTATTTTCTCCATCTACATGATGCTTTCTATCAGTCCAGTGGTGAGAATTTTTACTTTTTTTAAGATGCGATGCAATCCGTATTTAAAGTTGCAGTATATGATCTTCTGCAGGAAGGGCTTCAAGTCCTCACTTTCAACAAGCAAAGTTGTATCATCTGCATATCAAAGCTTATTGATGAGTCTTCCTCCAATTCTGAAGCCACATTCTTCTTCATAGTGCCCAGCTTCTCAAATAATTTGCTCAGTGTCAGACTGAATAGGGCTGTAGAGAGGATACAGCCCCAAAGCACTCTAAATTTTAAACCATGTAGTGTTCTTTTACTCTGTTTGCACAACAACAACCTCTTGGTCTAGGTTTAGGTTTCACATGAGCACAATTAAGTGTTCTGGGATTCCCATTCTTCTCCATGTTAGCCATAATTTGTTATGATCTACTCTAACAATTTGTTAATTAAAAATTGCTAATTCTCACCATGAAAGAGATACAAATAAAAATGACAATGAGATACTATCTCACACTTGTCATAGTACCACTGATCCAAAGAAAACAACAGCAACATGAGATTGTGGGGAGATCTGAACACCCCTTCTGGTGAGGCTGTAAAATGGTATAATTGCTATGGGAAACAGTACCTGATTTCCTCACAAAGTCATAAACAGAAAACCATATAATCCAGCAATCCCATCTCTAAATATATATCCTGGAGGAAAAAAAAAGGGCACTCTGATGGCCGATTGGTTAGGAGTTGCACTAGCAACTAAAATGTACACGATTCAAATCTACCAGCTGCTCTGTGAGAGAAAGACGAACAATCTCCTCCCATGTGATTAAATGCCTCTGAAAACCCACTGGAGGGTCAGCTATGGATTGGTTCCAACTCAACAGCACACAACAACAACAGAGAAAAAGAACCAGGTTACAAACGGATACACACACATCCTCGCTCATTGCTGTTTTACTCAGAATAACAAAAAGATGGAAACAACCTACGGGTCCATCAGTGGATGAATGTATAAACAAAATGTTATACAGATGTACAATGGAATACTATGCAACAATAAAAAATAGTGGGTCTGAGAAACATAATATGGATGGATCCGGAGGACATCATGCTGAGTGAAATAATTCAATCATTAAAAGACAAGTATGAGACAACTTTTATATCATTAAAAGACAAGTATGAGATGAATCTTATAAGAAGTAAAGGATAGGTTTACACAGAAATCTGGAATGGAAGTTAGTCATGGAGAGCACCTCACAAGCCAATTAACAGATTGGCCTTTAAAACAATTAAGGCTCATGAGGAAAGTACTTTGTAGAGCAATCAACTCTGCATGAACCAACAGGTAATGTTTGCCCCAAAGCAAAGATGAGAAGACAGGGAAACTGGAGGGATGTGAATAGCAAAGTAGGGTGGAAATGTAAAGAGAGCTGACATATCGTGGGAGTAGCAACCAATATCACAAAATTATCTGTGTATAAATTATTAAAAGGGAAACGAATTTGCTGTGTAAACTTTCACCTAAAACATAATGGAACGGGTGGGGGTTTTTCCCCACAAAATCACTTCATCACAATCTCTTTTCTTTTTAACTCTTACCACCACTTAAAATTACATTATTTACCTATAACTTGTGTGATAACTATGTTTTCCTCTGCCTATGTTTTCTGTGTGCTGTGGAGCTCCGTGTGGAGACAGGCCTACGTCTTGTTTGCTGCTGCATCCGCAGTGCCTACCACAGAGCCTGGCACAAAGGAGGTGCTTGGTAAATCCTTGTCAAACAAAACGATGGAAGGAACCTGGCCTTCGTCAAACAGCAACGCCTGTGCTTTCACAAGAGAAAGGAAAGCAAGGGACTCTAGTAAAAGAACCAAATTTACTTCAGTTTAAGGCAAAATTCCACACAGAAACTGTCTCAGAGACGGGCACAGGACCAGACAGAGTAGAAACACCACCTTCATGCATGACTGGAAGGGAAGCAGTGTCGAGCATCAGACAGGGTGTGGCCTGGTCTTCACTCAGGCGTGGGAAGATCAGGTTTCTGTGGGCTGAGGAGCCCCATGCAGCAGGAGGGACTGGCATGCATGTCCTGCTCCCCGAGTGGGTCAAGGCTGGACGGCTGGGTGGGCCCAGGAGTGAGCTCACCTGTTCCCACCTTTCCCACAACAGGGACAGAGGGCTGGGCTCAGACACCAGAGCCCAGGGCTGAAGGATTGGGGTGTGTCTGAGGTGACAGGACAGAGTGACCCCTGGGCCAAGACGGCCTGGGAGGAGTGGGGTGGGGAAAGGTGAGCATGGGATGAATGGACCCTCAGGACATCAGAGCTGAAGGAAAATCTGGGACCGTCTGGTCAACCCTCTCACCATACAGATGTGGAAGCTGAGGTCCTCCGTGTAGAAGGGCCTTGCTTTGGGTTCCCACAGGAGGGAGGAAGTAGAAATAGGGCTTGAGCTCAGGACTCCTGTCTCCTATCCCTGTGGGACAGAGGCCGCTCAGAGAGCAAGGGCAGTGTGGGAGCACCAAGGCTAGGGTGCTTTTTGCCTAACCTCCAGGTGGGCAGTGGAAGGCTGGGAACCAGAGGTCCAGGAGTCATTGGTGGAAGAGGCCTAGGGGGCTGTGTGGCTAGAACCTGCCTCATACTATGCTTGAGAGGTGCCAGGGAGGAATGGCCCTTCACTTGTTCCACTATCACAGACTCTACCTCAGGCCGGCAGGGCCTTTACTGCATGCAAGTGTCCCCGGAAGGGGGCCACGAGTCCAGGCATTCCTGCAAACTCCTTAACCTCATGAGTCTCATTGGAATAGGGTACCAGATAGAGACTGGGATGGGGGTTTGGGGTAATATTGGAGAGCAGATGAGAGGACTGGGGCTAGAAGAGGAGGCCCAGGGTGGGCTGAAGGGGAGCTCCCACTGTCCCGCTTCACATTGCTAATTGGGCGAGAAGTCACGGAAGAAGGGCGAAGAGGTGTGCTGAACCTTGTGTACACCTCCGCCTGGTACCACTCAACCCCTGCCTCCATGGGTCTGGGGCCCGAAGGAGACCGGAAAATTGGGGTGGAGTTTCCGCAGGCCCCACCTCAGAGGCACACATCTGCCCGGGGAAGGGGGCTAGGCTAGCCAGGGACCCTGCCCACCCTTGCATCCGCTCTCCCCAGGTCCCAGCCACCAAGCAGCTGCAGGGTGGGCTCAGATGTGTGTGTGCAGCGGGGAGGCAGGGGGCGTGCGGGATGGGGACTGAGGGGGCGAGCTGGCCGGGGGCCCAGGCGGGGGTCGCGGGCGGATGCCCTGCGCCTTCATGTAGGACACCAGCTGGTCGGGGATCTCAGCCAGCACGTCGCGGGCCAGGCGTGCCATGCTCAGCACGTGGTTGCCGGTGCGGTCCACGTAGTCCCGGAAGGGCACGAACTGGGGGGCAGGAAGGCAGGGTCAGTGCGGTCTGATTTCCCTCTTAATCCAGCCTGGAACATCTCCAGGACCTGAGGTCACGCCCTCACCCCCTCCCCCAGCCTCTGCCATCATGACCCGTGTCCACTCCCTCACTCTCCACTCCCTGAGGGCAAGGAATCTGTCTGTCGTCCCTGTCATTCTATTAATCAAAAAACGGAACAAGATCCTCATCTCTTTAATCCTAGCATGAAACATGGGGCCTGGAACTTAGTAGGTGTCTGGAAAGGCTGAATGAATGCCCTGGCCTCGGGGCCACAGTGCCTGCAGGGTCTCCTCTCCCATCTCTGGCAGAGTCCTGTCTTCAGCCCCTCTCTTTTTCCTCTCAGGGGCCAATGTGGACAAAGCCTAGAGCCTCTGGCTTCCTCCTGAGGCGTCCCACATTCCCTGAGGTTCTCGTGCTCACTCCAGCCTCCTGGTTTTTCCATATAGTTTCCTCCTTTTATGTTGCCTTTGCTTTGTTCCAGGCCCTCCTCATTTTAGGTCTTCATTCCAGGAATGCTGCCCTCTCCCCCATTTCTTTTCATCAAGGGCATGTGGAGAATGTCAGAGTTGGATGCACCAACTCTTAAGCACTAGGGACTCAGCTGTGTGACTGAGAGATGTGCTCGCTGAGGGGACATTCTGCAGGACAGGAATCCCCAGAGGAAAGTGCGCAATTTTCTCATTAATTTGCACCCTATGAGGGGATCTTAAGACAGTAACTCAGTTAACCAAGTAATGCCCATTTTCAGAGAGGGCTGGTGCAATGGTTTAAAACACCTCCACCAGCAAACGGTTTGCCATCTCACCAGCAAGTCAGACAGACAGAAAAACAACTTGCAAGGAGCCAGGTTACTGGTGAGGTGCCTGCAGGAGACCGGGAGGCCTGGAGCGCCAGGGACAGCTGCAGAGCTTGGAGGGCAGCCAGAGGACGCTGGGTGGGGGCACCAGCAATGTTAGGGGTGAGGAGTCACTGGTAAGTGACACAGCGGGGAGCAGGCCGGCCCAGAGAGGAGGGTGATCCCAGGTATGAACTTTGTCCTCCTCCAAGGTAGTCACGCAACTCTGGGTCTCCCAAGTGCCTCCCCTCAGGGTCCCACAAAGAAATCCCCTGAAAGGTTTAAGTGAGCCTGGCTAGAGGCACCCTCGTGGTTTCTGTGGGCAGGCAGGGCCTGGGCTTCACCTGCACGATGTCCCGCTCGGCCAGCTTCCCCCGGGAGGAGATTCGGACGTCGTCACCATCCAGCTCCACCATGGCTGTGTGGGGAGGAGCAGCATGGTGGCCATTAGTAGTGGAGACCCCTGGAAACCCCTGGAGGGTGGGGGGAGTACACCCAAGCAGACATCATAGACTCCCAAGGTGGGAGGAAGGATGAGTGACTCAGAGTCTCCTCCCCCCAGGCTTGGGATGTGGCTGTGGGGCACACACCCTGACACACCCCTCCCTGCAAACAAACGTACCCTCCTGCCCTGCACACTCACCCATGCACACACTGCGGCAGCGGCGGGCGGGCGGGCGAGAGCTCTCACTCTTGGGAAGTGTCATTCCCAGGGGTCAGAAGCCTCTCAGGAAACAGCTGAGGGACAGGAATGGAGAGCAAGGGAGGGCAGTGGCCAGACTCACCGTCAAACTCGGCTTGACCCACACCGATGATGATGATGGACATGGGGAGCTTGGCCGCCTGAGGGGACAGAATGGCATGAGTCAAAGGAACAGAGACGAGGCGGGATGAGGAAGAAATAAGACAGAGAAGGGGAAGGGTGAGGGAGAAGTCCAGAGTCAAAGACCAAGGGAAATGGAGAACAATGGGAAGTGGAGACAGACAGACAGACAGAGGGGTAACTATGTCACAGGTCTGCGTCTGTCAGTCACCCCTGCCCCTCTCACACTGGACCGCCATCATGTGGGCCCACCCTCTTTGATGTAGGTCTGAGGAGGGGCTGGGCAGACAGGGATTCTTTCTCAGAGAGGCCACCCTATTCCTGTGTCTCCCCTTCACTGGGGCTCCCACCTCCCTGACCTGGCAGGCTGGGCTGGGGGCTGGGGAAGCATCATTTTGGAATGAGACTAATGAGGGAGGGTACACATCCTGCCAGCAGGATCTCACAGTAGCCTGGGAAGGGGGGGGCAACTTCACTGGAAATCCTCCCAGAGCATGCAGCCAGGGATGGGGGAGTTGAGTATGGTCTGTGGGTCCCAAAGAGGACGGGAAGGGAGTAAAGTGACACCCCAGTGCTCCTTTAGGAAGGCAGCTCCCCCAAGGCCTCCTCACGCACGTTGACGATGGCCTCCTTGGTCTGCGCCATGTCCGAGATGACCCCGTCTGTGATGATGAGCAGCACTGAGTACTGTGAACCATCCTGCACGGTCGCCGCGTTCCTGGGGAGAAGGCAGGCCTCTGAGCACGATGACCTCCCCGCAGGGACCCTGAGCCTTGTGACGGGGACAGGGCCTCAGGGATGGGCTGGTGGCCTCTTCAGGGTCAGGGCTCCCTGAAAGGAGGTCAATGGGAAAGACCCATCCTCCCATCATCTCCCAGTTGCACGAGTGTCAGGAATGGGGTCTTGTGACTCTGGCCGAGCAGAGGCAGGAGCTCACCTGGCCACGTGGGTGACCACGGGGGCGAAGTTGGTGGGGCCGTAGAGCTGCACGGTGCGCAGGCTCCGGTGATAGGCCTCCAGGATGCCATCGATACCACAGCAGGAGGGGTTTTCTTGGTTGCCGTTCTGGGGTGGGGGGTGCACAGAGAGCCAAGCAGGTGCTTAGGATGGGCTGGCTGAGCTCAAGAAGGAGGACAGCTGAGGGACCTGGGGGAGTGGAGTCAGGTCTGGCCTCTGCTAGACCACTCTCTGGTGGGCAGGGGTCAGGAGCAGAACAGGGCATTCCTGGACCCACCCTGAAGAGCAGCACACAGGCTAGGTGAGGTGGTGACAAGCCTTGTCTTCTCCAGGCACCCACTCAGAAAGGACCCTTAGAGAACACAGGCCAGTCCACCACGCCGACAGTAAGTGCTGGGGCCGAGCAAGTGAGGAGAGGGGCCTGTGGCTGATTCATCTTTGTCCAGAAACCAGCAGACTGCACTCCACAAACATGTAAGAAACGTTCCCTAAATACATCTGACTGACTGACCAAGCAAACATCCCTACATTATGGGAAGGAGGGACAGGAGATGCCTGAGGAACATCTCCAGATGGTCTGGGATCCCTAAATGATGCAATGCATGCCCTATGTACCTCTCCCAGGAACCCTTCCAGAATATTCCAACCCCTCACCTCCCTCTTAGTTTCAACTGCAGGGAGTCTCTGGAATTACCTGCAGCTGCTCACACCCTGCCCACATCCCTTAGTCATTCCACCCTCACCCCTATCTTATCAGGAACAAGAGGCCAGAGCTAGGTGGGTGGTTCAGATGGCAGAGGGGAGGGGTTTGAAACCAGGGTGGGCAGTGGGTCTCCAGAGGCTCTGAAAGAAGTTACCCTATGTACAGCCAGCCAGTCACCTTGCCCACCTCCTAAAAGCTTGTACCTCAAGTCCTGAAGAGCAGAGGATGGAAGGCACCTCCCACCCGGGGTCTGTCACCCCATCCATCCCAGCGCAGACAGTGCTCCCTCCCAGGCCTCCTACCAGGGGGAACTCGTGGGACACCCGGCCATCAGGGGGCAGCTTGGCTCCGAAGCCGAGGGCAGGGAACATCTTGTCGCTGTCGTAGTGCTGGATGATCTCCCCCACCGCGGTCAGCGCCAGCGCGTAGGCGTTCAGCTGGTAGGGGCTCATGTAGTGCAGGGATGTGGACTGTGAGGGGTTCCCTGGGGCACAGGACACAGGAGCATTTGTCAGTCTGGACCCTCAAGCCTCCTTGGGTTTCAGAAAGTAGTAGGGTGTCCAAAGGAAGCCCAATTTTTTTTTCTGAGCATAAATGCTCCATGGGGTCTTCATGCCTGTTCTTTCTTCTGAGCATCTCTAGGTGGGTTTCAATTGTCAATTAAGTACTTCCATCACCAAGGGACTCCCCAACGTTTATTTCTTTCTCCTTGACTCCTCTCCTCTCTTAGCACCCATTCAAGTCTGCAGAAGTCCTGGCTGCTAACTTTGCACCATATGTCCATAATCTCATCTAAAGCCCCTTCCACTGTGTCCACCACTCGCAGCCAGCTGCCCTCAGCTCGCCCTGGGCCTGCAGCAGCTCCCTGCCTCGACAATGCTCTGGCTCACAGTATGCCACCCCAGTATGACCACCCCCCAAATTCATTGTATCTTTAATCATCCAGGCCCATGTGACACTCCCTGGTAATGAACAAGAAAGGGAGTATGGTGGTCCCTGTTCCCAGTAAAGACCTTAAAGGCCTTAAAGGCCCTCCCTTCTCTGACTCACCATTGGAAGCAGTGAAATCAATGGCCACCGTGAAGTTGATCTGAGTCCTAGGAGAGAAAAGAGGGGAGGTTACTTCAGAAGAGGCAGGGCTATGGGGCGTGGAAGGTGAAGGGTGAGACCCCAGCTGTAGCACAGGCCTCTCTGTTGGCAAGGTGTGCAGGCTTGACAAAGTTAACTGTCCTCTCCAAGAGTCAGCTGCCATTTCTGGAAAACAGAGCCAGTCACTTTCCCTAAAGGATTGTTGTGAAGATCAAAAGAATTTAGCAGTATTAAAGGTCTTTGAAGATGATTAAATTCTGTGTGTCTACATGATTGGCATGGTCGGAAGGATATTGCATTGTAAACCCTTTTGGATTCACCAGCAGATTAGAGGGAGAAATATGGACAATGTCTTCCTATGTGATTTACAGACTTGAAAATCCAAAAGATTGGTTCTGACTTGATGGCAATGAACTTGAATTTGTGAGGATACATGAATATTATTACTTTTTCTGTAAACCCTGACCTCTGGGCCTGCCCATGGCCAGGGAGGTAGAGTTAGAGTAAGCCTGTCCCTGTATTTCAGGCTCAAATTTGGAGTCAGACTTAGGGCTAACCTTACTCACCCCTAAATCGGACAGTTAGATTTTTTTTAAAGCTGTAAAGGATTTTATTATACAACTATTTGTGTGTGTGTGTGTACAGTCAAATCAGATCTGACTGGTACAGGAGGAGATTGTTACTCCTTCTTCAGCCGAGCATCTGGTGGATTTGAACTGCACACCTCTAGGATTGCAGTGCAGCTTCTTGCCACTAGGCCATCAGAGCTTGCCAGACAGTTAGATATTGTGCATCTCTTGCAAGAATAATAAAACTTGTTGCTAGGAGAGGCTATTCCTTGAATAGGGACATCATGCTTGAAAAGGTGGAGAGATGGACCAGTGGACTGATGTGGAAACAGCACTAATGGCCTTGAGTATGTCAGATTGTGAGGATGGTAAAGGTCAGGACAGTGTTCAGATCTGTTGTTCATAGGGTCACTATGAGTCATATTTTACTTGATGACACCTAACAACAACAAGGAAATGAATGGTATCAAGGGTGTTGATTGTGGATCCAAGCAATACGAAATCTTCTCAATTGCTTGCTATACATCTGAAAGTTGGACAATGACTAAGGACAATAGAAAAAGAATGGATACCTTTGAGTTGTCATATTAGAGTAGAGTACTGACTATTCCATGGACTTCCAAGGGAACAAACAGGTCTGTCTTGGAGAAAGGGAAAGCAGAGTGCTCCTTGGAAGCAAGGATGGTAAGACTTCTATCTCATCTGCTTTGAGCATGTTGTTAGGGGGGGGCCAGTCCTTGGAAAAGAGACATCATGCTGGGAAAGGTAGAGGGTCAGAGAAAGAGGGGAAGACCCTCAACAACATGGATTGACACAGTGACTGTAACAATGGGCTTGAGCATAAGAGATGGCAAGGGTGGACCGGGACAGGACAGCGTGTAATAGCAGTTTGTTTTTATCTGTTAGTTTGGAACATAGAGACTTGTGTCTTTGCTAGAGAAACAGACATCTGGAAAGTGAGAGCCTTGTTCCATGGCAACCCTGAGGAGGGTGGTTCTGGCCCCCATGATGACAGTTAAGGGGCACAGTCAGGCTAGCTCTTCAAATAAACTGAACAACAAAGGTGGAATTTATGTTTGAATATGGCTTTCCTGGCCCCTGAACTTGACTGCCATGTTGATGTGTGGGAATATGTGAGTAGGGCATGCTAGGCTATCCACAGGAGATTGGCTAGTTTCACCAATCCACAAGGGGATTGGCTAGTCTTGCTATGAAATTGAGTGGATCCAGGATCAGAAAGAAGAAACCTCACTACTGGAGGGAAAAGCAAGCAAGAGGGCCTACAGGACCAATAGCCATAGTAGGCACAGTGGAGAGCCAGAGGCCTGGCATGAGACAGAGAACTAGAGACCTGATGTGAGATGGGACCTTGGAACTGTTACACCATTGCAGTCAGAGCTAAGAGCATTTGTCCAAGTTTTTTGGCCCATTGGTGGTGGTAGGAGGCCATAATTGGTAGGACTTTGCAACTCTAGCCTTAAGTAAGCTCAAGGCTGAGGTGCCTGAAAGCACATTTTGGAAGCTGTCCTGGCTGAAATCTGCTATTGACTTGTATTATACCATTTTAACTTCCCCAATATGGTTTTGTGTGGCCCTATCACATCGGATTTGGGACCCAGGAAAGCAGCAAGATTGGTGTTGTGATGAGCAGAAAGAGGTGCAGGAGTGTGAGGGACATGACTGACCTCATGGGAATTGGTTTTGTGTTGTTCATGCTATTGACCCCCTTAGTGAAGATGGTAAAGGTTAGATATAGCCTTTCCAGGCAGCCTTTGATCTTTTTAAAGGCAGGCCCTACTCCTTAACTAGTCATCTTTCTCTGCTCTAGGTTCAAAAAGGAAAAACAAACAAACAAATGAATCCCAGGCATTTGAGGGTCAGGAAGATTACCCCCTGCGCTCTCACCTTTCTGCTGGAAGGCAGAGCATGGAGAAAGAAGGTTCTGAGCTCCCCAGCTGCCCCTTGGACACTGGGGCAGTAGCAACTGTACCCTTCCTCCTGGGGTCCAAGTGAGGGACGCCCAGAAAAACAAGGATCTCTAGACAAAGGCCTCATTCATCGGCTTCCTGCCTGGACATGCACACGGTCACCCGCTCCCTGGAGCCAGCTCTCACCCAGACTCTCCAGAGAGTTTAAAGAGAGGTGTGGGGAGGGCTGGCACTGGGGCTCCAACCTGCCTAGCACAGGCGGTGCCAGCTTTGTGCAGCTCCCCGGCCTCTTCTCGGTGATACCTCACAGTACCAGCCCTTTAACTCGGCAGTCTCCGCTTCGTCACACTCCACCCAGGAGTGATGAAGCAAGCAGGGCCTGGATTATTAATTACTATGGAATGAAAGGCTCTAAACACAGGGCAGAGGGAGTCCTGCCCCTAATAGGTGTGTGGCCCCGGGCAGTTATAGCCTTCCCCACTTGTAGGGAGATCACTGTCCTCACCCTGCCCACGGGGCTCTGTGAGAGGGGGGCACTATGCAAATGAGCAGGAGAAATAGGATGAGGATGAGGATGATGTGAATGTTATGTGAGGAACGCAGCCCATCATTTGCCAAATCAGACTCATATTGACCCCATGTGCTCCTAGGTTGGTGCAAATGGTTTATGCTCAGTTGCTAATTGGGAAGCTGGGATTCATGGAAGAAAGGCCTGGTGATCTGCTTCCATAGACATCACAGCCTAGAAAACTCTAAGGAACTCAGTTCTGTAACATACAGGGTCATCTGATGGCAACAGGTTCTTAGCGGTGTAAGGAGTGGATGCTTAATGGGATGAAGGACAAGGTAATTTGGATGGGAGGGAGCAAAGACAGACTTAAAGAAGGCTCTGGGGAGGGCAGGTAGGGGCAGAGGAGGCTTCTGGATGGCAGAGAGGAAGGCGTGTGCTCAGTGGGGAGAAGGTGAGCCTGCACCCTCGAGGCTGTGCAGGTTCAGAGCCACAGGGAGGGGTGTCATGGGAAAGTGAATGCGGCTTCCCCGGGTCTGACTTTCCCTCTGCCCTAGAGAACCAGGCAGCCAAGGTGCCCACTTGGCTGGGATGAGCCTTTGGCAGCCGCCCCTCCTGTCTCCTTTCCAGACAGGTGCAGTCGCTCACCTGCCTTCACCTGTGGGCTCCCCACTGCCCACACTCTGACTTGGCACCCATCCCAGCAGGAGCATGCTGGCCAGGCTCTCATATTTGCATCCAGCTGTCTGCAGAGCCTCTGGTGGCTTCCCCGCCTACCGTATCCTAGACACTACACCCTCTGGTTCTTCCTGCTGCTGATCTACTGCAGGCCCCAGGACTGTCCCTGGGCTCACTCCCCAACCCCACCTGCCCCTTACACCTCTCTGAAATCAGTGGAAATGTAAGTTACTGCTCCCAGACCTATCAGAGCTATTAGAAGCTAAGGAAGGAAGCTATGAATTCACTTACTCCAACTTCTTTGCATAAAGAGGCAGAAACAGATGCCCAGAGAAGGAAAGCAACTTGTCCTGTTATTCAGCAAATCCACACAGCAAGGGGTAGCCAGAGCTTGGGCCTCTGCCTCTTAGCCCAGGGCTTTCTCTATGTCCTCAAACCCTTGGCTGTCTTTGCCAATGAGTTCCATATCACCTCTGGGGCCCATCTGTCTGTGGACCTGACGTGACCCAGGCCAGGCTCCCCTCATCACAGGAGCACCTCTGAAGCCACTCAGATCCAGTGTGTGCATGGGTTCTGAATGCATTTCCTCCACCCAGACACCCGGGGTTTGCTCAGAGCCCAGCATCACAGGTTAAGCCAGGGGCACCGGAAGTCCTTGTGTTGATGTGAGGGTTCCTTTCCTCTTCCCAAGGCCTCATCGCTGCTCACCCTCCTTTGATGTAGTCGAGGAATGTGCATTCTGACTCCACAGCGAAGGAAAGCAGCGTGACCTGGAAAATAAGAGGGAGCGTGGTCAGAAGGGAGCACGGGTGGAGTGTGGTGGCCCCGGGAGCTGGAGCTTCCTGAACGTTCAGTGTGTGCCAATGCTGCATGCACGACTGCATCCCACACCTCCGACACGGCCAAGAGGCCCTGTTTATTATCCCCATCTCTTTTTATTTTTTATTATCCCCATCTTACAACCAAGGAAATGGAGACTAAGAGAGGTAACACAAGCCCAAGGACCCAGCCACAATGAGGCAGAGTGGAGATACAGATTCAAGTCTGCTGGCTTCCAAGCCTGTCCTCTTAGGCCTGATTCCAAACTGCATCCAGATGGTGTCCTTCTCTGTCAGTGGAACACAAAGGTGTAAGGCCAGGCCATGAGGCACTCCCACATGAGCACCTATTTATTCTTCAACCAGGCCCCTGGCACAAGGTGTTGTAAAGAGAGCAAGAGCCGCATGGGGACAGCTATCTATATCTGACCTTCACCAACTTCACAAAGGGGAACTGTCCCCATCAACAACATCAGTAAGCCAAAGATAATTCCGATGAGATCAGACAAGTTGCTCCACACTCCTGCACCTCTTTCTACTCATTCTAACACCAATCTTACTGCTCTACACAGGCCTCACAGAAACATATTGGGGAAGTCAAAAGGTTATATAATCCTGCTTAGTAGCAGAATACAGTCAGGACAGCTTCTGAAATGTGCTTGCAGGCACCTCAGCCTTCTTGAGTCTTGCAGCTTTAGGCCAATGTTACAAAGTCCTCAGTGCTACCAATTATGGCTCCCCTCCTCACACCACCACCCACCACCCCTGCTGCCATTGTCCAACAAACTTGGGCAAAGGCTCCTAGTTCTCATCCATGGGATCACAGTCCCAAGGTCCACTCTGCCTACATCAAGACTCTGGCTCTCTGTTGTGGCTATGGCTGTTGCTCCCATAGACCCTAGTCTGACGAATAAAAGAATCTTTGGTCTTGAAAGATATGCTGCGTTCTTTTGCTGCTTCTTTGCTAGTGGTGAGGTTTCTTCTTTCCTACTGCTGGATTAGTTCAACTTAATGGTAAGACTAGCCAATTCCCTTGTGAATATGTTAATTCACCCTATTTGCATATCCGCGCCCATGCAGATGACAAAGTAAATTAATAGATAGGAAAGACATTTGGGGTTTAAATATTTTTTTTCTTTTTTCCTTGCTGTGTACTGTCAAATAGGATCTGACTTGCACAGAAGGAGATTGCACCTCCTTCTCCAACACAGCATCCTGGTAGATTGGAACCACACACCTTTAGGATTGCAGTGCAGTTTCTTGCCTCTAGGCTCCTAGAGCTCCCTGTCAGGGAAGACATTTTGAACAATAAATCCTTAACACCACAGATGTGGAGAGCAAGCAGGGGCTTCTTAGTCAGGTCTCGAATGGAAGTCTCCTGGGCTCTCGCGGCTAAGCTTGGTTACATTTGCTGGCCAGGTCTTTAATTTCAGAGTGCAGGGGGATCTGATGGTTGCTTTCATGCCACAAAGACCTTGGTTTGTTCTATAAACACACTGCAGCTTCCACCTCGGGGCCTTTGCATGTGCTGTTCCTGCTACATGGAAAGCCCTTTCCCTAACTTCCTCAGTACTTGCTGTTTTACTTTCTTTGGATCTTTGCTCAAATACCAGCTACCACCTTCTCAGAGATGCTTGCCTCAACCACCTTACATACATAATACAGTAATTTACCCTCATTTTCCCGTCCCTTAACCTTACTGTATGACACTTAGAACCAAAATATAGAGGTATATACCACATGTTTGCATACAACGTATCTACTCAATTAATTCCTATACTCATATAACACTCACAAAGCAATGGTGGGAAACCAGTGCACAAGGAATCTATATCACTTGCAAAAATCATGTAACATATCTATTATTTACACAAAAATATGGTAGGCATATTTATCTCAAAACAAAGACACCAATCATATTTTGTGCAAATAATGTGTGCATTATACAATTTTTTTTGCATTATACAATTTTTATAAGACTAGAACATAAGCACAGGATAGAGCAGGGTTTAGGACTGTTTTACATAGGATCACTATGAGTTGCAGGCCACTTGACAGCACATAACAACAACAGAACATAAACTGCATGAGGTCAGAAATTTGGGCTCACACTGTTCCCAGCTGTCTCCCTGCTGCCTAGAACAGTGCCCACACATGGGATTGTTAAGTCCATTCTGACTAACTGTGACATCACATAAATAACAGCTTCAGAAAGTGTATGTCGAGGGAACGTATGAGTGTACAGAAGTCCAAGCCCTAGAAGCCACTGTGAGTCACCTCAGGATGGTCTTAGTTAAGCAGGGGCAGTGTCGACCAGCCCTGGAGCCAGATATACTGATGACTCCCACTCTATACCACCTTTTCTTAATCCGTGACCAAGGCCACATCACTTCCTCACCTGCAGCCTCTTTCATGACAAGGGGATGATAAAATCTGCCCTGGGGGTGGAGGAGCAGGGAGTGACATCCTGTGAAAAGCACCAGATCGGGGAATTTCCCAGAGCAGGGGCACAATCACTGCTGCTCCTCTTCCTCTCCCTTCTTGCAGGAAGTCCCCCTGGGAGTTTCTCTCTGTGACTTCTCATTCTGCATCATGGTCGGTCTTCTTGGTGTTGTCTCAACCATCACACGCCTGGGCGGTGCCTCCTCTGCCCCACCCTCCCCACCTCCACCCCAGTCTCTCCAGGTCCGGTGTTCCCACACTTTGCATGTGCGCACAGACACACAGGCTCCCCAGCACCAGGTCTATCTTGGGGCGCATTATATCTGCTACAGGGAGGGGGTGGCTACTCACTGTGCCGGAATTCACATATTTCTTTTTCTTCATTTTCTTTTTTGGGTTTACCACCTGCAGGAAAAACCAGTTGGTGGATAAGAAGGAACACCCTGGGTGTAGCCCCAGCCCCACCAGGTGGAGTCTGAAGACCTTCAGTGGGAGGGAGGCGGGGCGCCAGCGGGAGAGAGGACTTGGGCTCAGTGTGGTTTTGTGGGAGCCTGGCATTTAGAGTTACACAACTGGGCTCCCCAGTGAAACTTGGTGTCCCACGACTGAACACACCAGGAGTAATAGTTGTGTAACCTTCTTTGCCACTGCTCCCCCAAACACACCCTCCACCCTGTGCAGGCAGAGAAGGCTCCATGTCGCAGAGGCCCTGTTGGTGCCTGTCCCATATGCTGGCTCAGGCGGCTCCTCTCACCCGAGATGCCCTCCTCAGTTCCCCTGACTAATCTCAGCCTTCTCTGCTCCTCTTTCAAGCCTCAGCCCCTTAAGGGTCCTGTCTGGACCACCAAGGTCATAACAGGGCAGCAAGAACATCTTTTAATTAGTCTTCACTTATGGTACCACCACTCTGGAAGGCAATTTGGTGCTTCGTCAGAAAGCTGAACATAGAAATTCCATATGACCCAGCTATTGGAATATACCCCGAGAGAATGAGCACTGAGGCACAAATGGAGACTTGTACACCAATGTTCATAGCAGCATTATTCACCATCTCAAGAACATGGAAACAGCCAAATGTCCAACCACAATCAAATGGATTGAGAAATTATGGTACAGTCACATGATGGAATACTACGCAGCACAAAGGAGCAATGATTTTGTAAATTACTGCCTAACTTGGGAGAGACTGAAGAGTATTACGCTGAGTGAATTCACTCAATCCCATAACATACAAGTATTGTATTAAGACCATTAATGTAGGGGAGCTCTGGTGGCCTAGTGGCAAGGAGCTGCAACTGCAATAGCAGAGGCGCATGGTTCAAATCCACCAGATGCTCTGCCAGGGAAGGAGGGACAATCTCCTCCTGTACCAGTCAGATCTGATTTGACGGTACACTCACACAAAAATAATAAAATTTTAAAAAAAGACCATTACTGTAGAATGTGTATGAGGACCCAAAAGTGGGGACAGTGGGAGCAGAGGGGTGATGATGGGCAGGGGAAGGGGTATCTAGGGTCACATAATTTAATGGGTGGAGGGGTGGTGGTGAAGGTAATAGGAAAAAGAAAAAGACCCCACAAAAATCTAGTCTTGCCCATCAACAAACAAATGGATAGAGAAGCTCTGATATATTCACACAATGGACTACTACACTGCATTGAAAAACAAGGAACTCATGGAATATTATTCAAAATGGGTGACCCTGGAGGACATTATGCTGAGTGAAATATGTCAGTCACAAAAGGACAAATACTGCATGGTGCCACTGCTGTAGAATGGGACTGACATCAGGTTTGGGATGAGACTGAGAAAAACTGGAAAAATAATGTATACTGCATTGAAACAGATGAGTGAGAGAACAGTTTAAAAGTGATAATGATTAGATATTATGGTTATGACAAGAGTCCAGAATGAAGGTTGTATAGTGGAGTGTACTCAGGGGTAGGGGGTGATTATATACCAATGAAGAATTTTAATTTTACTTTTCAAAGAGAAGAATGAACTGGAGGGGAGGGGTGGGCAGGAAGAAAAATGCAACAATGAATGAATGGAAATCCAAAATCTCTGTAAATGTTCATTAAAATTAATTAAAAAAAAATCTAGTCTTCACTTGAAAGGTTTGTCTTCCAAACCAGACTTGATGCCAAGAATGAATCACAGGAATTCATTCATAAAAAGCCAGCTACCATAGACTTGACCCTGATTCATGGTGACCCCATGTGTGTCAGAAGAGAACTGTGCTCTACAGTGGCTCGCTTCTCAGAAGCAGATTGCTGGACCTTCCTTCCAAGGTGTTTCCGCATGATTTTGAACCTACAACCTTTCAGTTACCTGCCTAGTTTGCATTACTAGTTTGTACTACCCAGGAACTCCAGGTGATTAGCAGATGCTGAAATAAAACATCTGTTCATGGGCTCACTTGGTGATCCCAGCTGGTGTGGATTTGAGGTCTCTCATCTCTAGGACATCTAGCAACGTTTGGGGACAAACTGGGTTGTCACAACTAGGGTGGTGGACTGGGAGCTCTGGGGGCTTAGTGGAAAAAAGCTACACCGGCATCCCAAAAGCATGTGATTCGAATCTACCAGATGCTTTGCAGGAAAAGGGTGAGCAGTCTCCTCTCTTATGATTTACTGGATCTGAAACCAGCTGGAAGGTCAGCTATGGGTCATTCCTGACTTGTCAGCAAACAACAGTAGCATCTGGTACGTAGAGCCTGGGGGTGCTGCTACATATCCTACCATGTACAGAACAACTCCTCATAACCAATAACGAGGCAGACCAAAATATCAGTGGTGCTGGTCTAAACGATGAGGACAACCCACCAGGAAGGCAGTGGGAGATAGACCTAGCAATCTGTTTTAATAAAGATCACAGCCCAGCAATCGGTTTTAATAAGGATCACAGCCCAGAACAACCTAGGGTGCAAGGGACTATCCAAGGTATGATAAGCTCTTTGTTCACCTGGAGAAAAGAGGAAGAGTCAGGAAAAGGAGAAAATAGAATAGGTATGTGGTTAATTGCCTCCATGAGTAACTGTCTCCTTTGCCATGAGACCAGAAGAAATGGATGGTGCCTGGCTACCATTAGGAAACATTTTTATAAAAGATTGCATAAACAAATGCAAAAGGGGGAACACAAAATAGAATTTCAAATCCTTTACAGAATCCAGAATTTTAGAGTCACAGCAGCTGTTGTTGTTTTTGTTAGGTGTTACTGAGTCAAATATGATTCATAATGACACTATGAACAGCAGATCTGAACTGTATCCAGCACCATCCACACCATCTTTCATAAGCTGGAGCCCACTGTTACAGTCATTGTGTCAATGCCCAGAGGCTGGATGAACCCCCAAAACAATTCCCCTGACATCACCGTTCAATCTCAAGCCAAAAATCTCCCCTAAAGTCATCTTAAAGTCAAGTAACATTTTCATTTTAAATAGTAAAGAATGATCTGCGGTGAGCAGGGTGCTCTTTTAAGACCCCTCTGTATTGGATCAAAGTGACAACAGAAACTAGAACAATTAGAAAATGTAAGAGGCAGTGAGCGCTTATTAATAAAGAGGAAAGACCCCAAACACCAAGGCGAGAACAGTTGTACAACTTGAACACTGTACCGTGACAGTGTCACGGAATGATAGATGAGAAAACTTGAATTGGCATATTTTTTGCTGTTTACAGTCTCAACCATAACAACATCAAAATAAATTTTTAAAAATCCTTATGCAGCACAGTTGTACTCTGATACATATAGGGCAAGGAATTGTATTTGGGATTTTCATGATTTTTATTGTTTTTATTTTGGAGGTTATCTTTGCAGCCGTTAACACGTGCAGAATTGACTTTTGAAATACATACATACATACTTTTTGACACACATGCGTACAAACCCTACATGGCATCTACTCATGGCACCAGCAGTAACCCCACCTTGTCCATGTGACCCACCCAGATGGATTTTCACACTTCCTGCTTTTGTACTCCCATTTGAGCCTTTCCAATCTGTTTGCTTTTGCTTTTTCATGAGGAAAATAAAGCGAGGCAATTTGCACACCAACTTTACCGCCTCTTGTTTTCTGGAGAACTCGTCTCCCTTCTCCGGAATACTCTGCTTCACAAATGGGCACTGATTTGTAGAGATTAAGAAAACCAAGGCATAGAGATGCCAAGTGACTTGCCTAAGGTTACACAGACTAGAGGGTAGAGGCAGGATCACAGAGCCGACTTCCCGTCCCCAGGCCAGTGCTGCACACATCAGATCACTGTGATAACAAATCTAAGAAGGGATGTCAGTTCCACACCTCAAGGATCTTGACTCCAGTGGGGGAAAATACACAGAAAGATAGGTAAAAATACTGGGGGTGGTACAAATTGTTAACAGTTCAATGTGCTTGGATACTAAGTGGAAGTTTTTGTTTTGTTTTGTTTTGTTTTGTTTTAGCTTATCCAGTCTACCGCAGAAGAAAGGTTTGGTGATCCACTGCCAAAAAAATCAGCCATTGAAAATTCCATAGGACCACCAGGCTGTCACAAGCAGGAGCTGGGTAACCCGCTTCATTATACCTGTATTCACAAGCCGTGACCACGGAAGCACAAGCAAAGAAATCAAGCAGTGTATTGCTGCACTGGCAAACCTACTATGAGAAGACCCATCTCAAGTGTTAACACACAGTTATGTGTTCTGGGACTCCCACTGTCCTCAAGGTTAGCCACAATTTGTTGTGATCTACACAGTCAAATGCCTTTGCATAGTCAATCCAGGCTGCCCCCTTGGAAGAAAGGATTTGAAGTTCTGTCTCACATACTTTGGGAATGCTGCCAGGAGGGAGCAGTCCTTGGAGAAGGACATCATGATTGGAAGGGTGGAGGGATGGTACAGGAGAGGAAGATCCTTGATGAGATGGATTGACACAGTGATGGGGTAATGCAGGTAAGTGTCTCAGACACAGTGAGACTGGCTCAGGATGGAGCAGGGTTCAGAGCAACTACCATTCATGGGTCACATATGACTTGCATTCAACTTAATAGCACATAAAAACAACAAAGTGTTAATAAGCAAATATGTCACTTTAAGGGCTAAGGTCATCCTGACCTAACCCATGGTATTTTTATGTGTGTGTGTGTGTGTGCGCGTGTGCGTGTGTGTGTATACTGTTAAATCGGATCAGACTGGTACAGTAGGAGATTGTCCCTCTTTATCCAGCAGAGCATCTGGTGGATTCGAACTGCATGCCTCTGGGATGGCAGTGCAGCTTCTTGCCACTAGGCCACCAGAGCTCCCGCCCATGGTATTTTTAGTACCTCATAAGCATGTAAAAACTGAACAAATAAATAAGGAAGACTAAAGAATTGATGCCTTTGAATTATGGTTTTGGCAAAGAATATGGAATATACCATGGGCT